CCGTGGGCATTACGGCTGCATAATGACCGCTCAGATCTCGCTCTTAGCCAATCAGAGCGTGCGTTATATCGGCCACAAGCCAAAGCCATATAATAAATTGTATGTACTGACTAAAGTTTCAACTTTTTTTTCTTTAATTATACCTGCATTTCGAATTCTTGTTAAAGAACAGTTGTTTGGAAGTTCAATTGTGATGTCCGTCAAGACGTCACTTGAAATAGACCAATCTTGAAGTTTAACTCAATTCCGTTGATACGACCACCTCGTTATTACGGTCGATTTTTTATGGCCCGTTGGTGACCGCATTAACGGGGTTCCACTCGGTACACGTAATATAATTTCAGCTTTTTGCAGTCAATCCCAACGTCGGCACTCAATTTCAACTTTCTGCGCAGTTTGGGATAAAATGACTTGCACTCAGCCAATCAGCTTGGTGAGATTTTAACATGTGTAGTATTAAGGCTGAAATTGGTGTGCGAGTTTACCTAACCCGATGTAGACACGACACGACAGTGTTTGTGGGAATCCGAAATTCATGTTAGCCAACAAAATGCAGTACATGTACATGCAGGCAGTATACTACATGTTAGCCTCCTGAGAATCAGTGGTACAGAAAACAATGTACGCAACCAATGAGAGAACAGGTGATTTGATCATTATATAATGAATGTTTGAAGTGAGTCACATATTTCATTAATATTTGTTCACTCTTCAGACAGGAACTTGTCCTTGATCTGAAAAAGGCAAAGGCATCCACTGGAGCAGCAGGGTTCAAAGGCAAGCAGATTGCTGATGTCGTCAAGTGTGTTGAGAAGGTAGTTAAGGTAAGACAACTGAAATCAGTGAGCAGTCAGTGTACACACACACACACACACACACAAACATCTCTTTCCTTTTTCATGCGGCGTTTAGTACGTACAAGTGTCGCGCTGGGAAAAACGTGCCAAAGTCTAATGTGAACAGCTTGTGAATTACAAGGATTGAATTGGTCTCTAGGTCAATGGTCCAGGTTCGAGACTCCGCTGGGCTCTTTGTGTTGTGCTTTTGGGGAGGAAACGTGATTCATCCGGTGCTTCTCTCCACCATTGTTGGGTGGTTGTTAGCGCAACCTGACAAATGCTGGAGGAGGGGAGGAGAGGGGGTTGGGCTGCCTGTTATTAACTAGCATCTTGTGCTTGCACGGGGACAAGCAGTACTTTCTATAAAACAATAGATAGAACCCTGCTGGTGAGCCATTTGTCAAACTGAGCGCGCTCGTTAGCGTTGAAGTTCAGCCATTTGTTTAATCATTTCTTAGGAACTAAACATTTTTTTTCTCACAGGATAAACAGGAGTCAGAGGTTGACAATCAAACAGTCTTTCATCCAAGCTCTTCATAAAACGTTGCTCGCTCGCTGATGTTCTAACTGTGAAATTTACGAACATCGCGAACGCGAAAAGTCTTGATTCAGCGAGAGACGACATCATACTCTATTTGGCTTCAGTCGCTACTCAGGGAAACACAAAAAACACAATGGCTTCAGTTGGTTTTGTTTTTAACGGAAGAAGAATATCGTTCATGTTTGTTCCTGTTCGTATTAATTTATGCTGTTTTGTGTGATGGAAGATGAAACTTACCCCACTCCATCCTGGAATGATCTGCAAGGATTCAAGGATTTCTGGGCCCGCAGGTTGCAGGACAGAGACGTTCCTAAGCAACGTAACACATTCTCGCGGCCCCATGCTGACTTAGAAACGTGCTCTTATCGTTCTATGATGGGAGAATAATAATGATTGGAGACCCTTCGCGTGTTTCCTTCACGTGGATTAACCGATAACAGCACCATCATGTTGTGTTCGAATGTGTAGCAGGGTTTGATTCCTTCCATCACGTAAAGAAGAGTATAGAAAGGAAACAGACACTACCCCATCTTTGCAGTGCTGACCACATATGATACGAATAGTTTGTTGTGTTCACGATGCGTTGTAAACATTGATAAGTGCAGTAATTTCGGAAATTACGAATACGTTTTTTAACGATTAGTGTTTCAGTGTCTTTGCTCAAAAGTAAAGAAATCTCCCTTCCCTTTCTGCCTGTCTACCTGCCTCCCCCGGCTGTTATTAAATTTGTGTAGCCGGGTTACCGGAAAGCCCCTGAAAAACGTACAGCTATGATCAGAAAAAAGTAGTATAGAAACAGTACGCTCATGCTGTTTTCGCGTGTTTTTAAAAGATGTACTTGAAGATGATTCTTAATTATCTAGGGGTTACCATTTATAATTTAGTATCCGGTTGTTGTTTTCCTATGAAAAGATTAGCCAATGGTACGAAATTTCGTACGTTCCGTTCCAAGCGAGAAATTACTGTTCCAATTGACGTTCAAGCGAAATTTCCAAGTTTTTTAGCTTGGTGTTGGGCACCCTTAATTGGATTTGATATGTTTGTTTTGGTAGCAAATTCTTCAAAGAATACTTTTCACGCAGGTCTTGTAGAGAGTACATAAATATTTACGCCTATTTAACTTGTTCTTTATGATCTGTATGCTCGAAGGACGATTTGACTGCATGTATGCCATTTTTCCCCCTTTTTCATCGGTACAGTCTTCTTATGTCTATTCGTTACCATTTCGAACACTATTAAGGTTATTCCTCAGTATTGCATTGCGCATCCCTACTGCGCATAATTTCACGCGTGATTAGCGCGCGCGCATTAAAAAATGGCGGCTTTTTCTTTACGACCTCGCCATAGAGGTAAATCGTCATTTTCTCGCAAACGAGTATGGTGACCTATCATTTTTT